GCTCCAGACCGGTCCTGGTCTCAGGACCAGAGGTCTGGACTCCATCCCTCCAGCTGGTCTCCAAAACCAGCTTCAGTCACGTCAAACACAAATCTGTCCTTTTGTCTACGATTCCTCTGCCTTTCTCAACGACCAGGATGTGGGACACAGAAATTTTTATTTTATTTACTTTTAAATACTTTTCAAAGCAAATTCATTCCAGTTCAAACTATTAAACTATTAGAAAATTCATTTTCAAACGATGCATTTAAACAAATCCAGATTCAGTTTTAATGATTCTAATTCAGTTTCTTCCCAAACAAAGCTCTCCCACAAAATAAAAGTCATCTGACATTTTTCAGCTAGAAAAGGTGATTTATTCAGTCATCTGATTTTAAACTAAAGAAGTCAATCAATCAATCAATCAATCAATCAATCAATCAATCCCACAGTCTCTGTTTGGGTCTACAGGCTATGCTTTTATTTTATAAAATCTTATTTCACTTTGGATTTTTACAATAAGTAGTGACATCATCGCAGTGATGACCTCATCACCAGGAAAACAAAATTACATCTTTATGAGGGGCGTGTCCAACTTCTGCTCCACCCCTGGGTTACCATATATGGCAGTGGAACACCTCAAGGTTGGCTAATCATACTTATAGGCCACGCCCCCAGAGATAAAAAACATTGAGAATAATGTTGGCTGTAATCAATCAGTTATCAAAGTAAACTAATGATTAAGAAGAAACACTCAATTAGTGGTAAACAAAGCAATGGCTGTTGGTCACAGTTACTTCCTGTTAAGGAGGAGGAGGAGGAGGAGGCGGGGTGGAAGAAGAAAACATTTTCAATGTGACATCAAACAGAAGGAATGTGTGACATCAGGAATTATCAAGGAGGCCACACCCCCGGTCACCTCCTGCTGCCCAATGGAGGAGGAGGTGGGAGGAGCGTCAGGAGGAGGTTTGGCAGCAAAACTGTCAGGTGTTGAAAGGGGAGGAGCTTCAGCAGGAGTTCAGCTCCTCCATGGTCTGATTCAGGGTCGCCTGAAGCTCCATGTTGGCATTTCTGGCAGAGGTCAGAGCATCTGCAAGGAGGAGGAGGACCTGTCACTGACTCATCAATTATTATTCAATGACTCATCAATTATTACTCAATGACTCATCAATTATTATTCAATGACTCATCAATTATTATTCAATGACTCATCAATTATTACTCAATGACTCATCAATTATTCAATGACTCATCAATTATTATTCACTGATTCATCAATTATTCAATGACTCATCAATTATTATTCAATGACTCATCAATTATTATTCAATGACTCATTAATTATTATTCAGTGACTCATCAATTATTATTTAGTGACTCATCAATTATTATTCAATGACTCATCAATTATTATTCAATGACTCATCAATTATTCAGTGACTCATCAATTATTCAGTGACTCATCAATTATTACTCAATGACTCATCAATTATTACTCAATGACTCATCAATTATTATTCAATGACTCATCAATTATTATTCAATGACTCATCAATTATTCAGTGACTCATCAATTACTCAATGACTCATCAATTATTATTCAATGACTCATCAATTATTATTCAATGACTCATCAATTATTCAGTGACTCATCAATTACTCAATGACTCATCAATTATTATTCAATGACTCATCAATTATTATTTACTG